TTTCACGCTTTACATTATTTAATTTTACACAATGAACCATCTCATACCTAAGAATGAAAATTATTTATAGCAAAGGTGTAATTCGAAGTCTCTTCGGTTAGAAATTATCACACATTAACAAAATATCTGTTTTACAATACTGACTGACCTTCACGTGTATTTTCTTGTATTATTTTCGTTTTGCGTTTCTATAGACATGGCTTCAGTGTATGTCAATTTCCTTTTACACTTTAATCAGAAAGTCAAAGTGTGCTTGTATCTCGAAGTTCTTAAATCATACGTAGTAGTATTCTTTTTTTATAGAAAATCTATAAAGTCCAGCTAAAAATTAAACCTTCGACAGTTTGTCCCGAGTGAGACTCTGGCAACGCTCCAAATACCAAACAATTTAGCCCAAGAGAGACTCGGGTACGGTGACACAACTCGCCGAAACTATTTATTTTATACTAGATATTCAATTGTAAGTTTATTATCGCTTAAACCATTTTCTTCAGTGCTCACCATTTTTGTATCTATTATACTTTCACATCTAAAGAAAAAGAAGTGAATTTTGAAACGTGTATCACGTCGATTTCTAAACCGATTACACAATACCTGTTACTGTTCGCGTGTTCATGAGTTACAAACGGTATATTTTATTCTATACATAAAGCAATACGATACTTTCAGCATTAAAATTGGATAGCGATGAATCATCGATCATTCGTGACAGTTCTAATACTGATACTTGCGAATCGACAAATTCAATGAAAAATGTGATAGAGAATCCGCAATTGATAACGATGCCAAATACAATTTTACATTTCTTATCGTGCATAGAGGTAATTTAAAACATAAACAAATATACAATTTTTTTTATTGCATTTCGTGATTTTATTAGACTGTCAAAGGTTTAAAGAAAATGCGAAGACTGTCATTCCAGCGTGGTAACTTTACCTTTCTTTAATGCGCGAAGAAACCTCGAACGTAGAGTTTACGGTGAATTTACGACGTGACGGTCACCGGCAAGGTGTGATATTTGCACGTTTAAAACGAATAATCCAGGGCTTCTTCTCGGCCTTGATTACTTTACCGAGGTGCAGAGATTCTGAGGGTTTTCTTGATCCGCTTGAGTGGTGTTTCAGATTGTGCGCATTTCATGATATTAGAGGCAAAAGTAATAGCACTGAGTGGCATTGTGGAAGGGGTTGGCTCGAGGTGTAAGTAGCGTCGGAAGGGGGTGGATCAACAGCTCGAAAGATGAGACCAAGAGGTTAACGTGGAGCTTAACCTTCTTCGAGCTACCTAATGAATAACAACGGTATGAAGTGTTTGCTAATAGCTGGGGAAGAATTTGCCAGCAAATATACCAACTCTCCTTCATTCACAAGGTTTAATTAGCATCTTTCGATTCATACCGACGCAATATAGTTTCTACCCGAGCGTATAATATAATGAATTTCAGAATTTCCAATTTTTACTGGCTTTATAGTAAAGCTGAATTAATAGCAAGAAATGGCCATTTCATGTTAGGAGGAGTAGGGGAAAGGTGTCTAAAACGATCCCTTTAAGGCGTAATTTATATCAAAAATAAAAATGCTTATTATTTAAATAAAAGTAAAGTAGTTTTTGTAAGTTAGTCTATCTACCTTATCGTTGGCTTAAATAAAATTTAGCTACCTGATCAATTACACTTTTTATTCACATTTCTTTGAAGGCTATAAAATGATCCCCGGGGGTCATTTTATACCTATTGATAGTAAATACGACGAACATTAAAAAGCATTTCAGTTATTACATTTTATTCAAACAAAAACAGCTTTGACGCGTTGTTTTTCTTTTATACTGACGGACCATTGTTGTAACTAAAACAAAAAACGATAATATAGCATATGGGTAAAATGATTCCTGGGATCATTTTATCCTACTGGAGAGGGATCATATGACCCCAAACACCCAACTCACCTTCAGTGGTTGAATATAACCTCAATTTATTACATGTCGTGACGAAACATTACTTAACTTATTGTTGAATTCCGGGTTGTGGAATTGAGTGCAACACTTAATAAAAGAACCTTGAAGAGGTTTATTCGACTACGCGTAACAGAGTTGTCGTAAGATTCTAAATTATATGTTTCGGAGTTCTCAAGTCTTCGTCGGAACCAGAATTGCGCTCTGTGTCTTTTCGGAAAGCTTATATACAGGGTGTAACAAAAATGTTGTCCGACCCGGAAATGGGGAACTCGGGGGGTGAATTGGAACAAGTTCTTCCTTAGCAACAATGTAATCTGAGGCTTCGTTACCGAGATATTAACGAAAAACCCCGACCAATCAGAACGCGAGTTTGCCAGCCGAGTTCTCGCTCTAGCGGTGGCTACGCGCTGCGATTTGTAGCCAACGCAACGCTACCCTCAAATAGGTTCAATTAATAAAAAAATATTCTGCGTGAAGTTTGAGATCGATCGGATAAAGGGAAAGGGAGCCCCAGGGTCTTTAAAAATTTAAATAATTACTTGAACGCACACAAAGTCGATTTTATTCGATTATCCTCTAAGGTACTAATTATATCAGAAAATATATCAGACAAGGGGCATCTTTAATGTTGTATTGCTTTTTAAAAAATTGCAATAATATTTGTTTTGATTTTGAAAATTGAAATCTGCCTTATTTTTTATCAATAAAGCCTCAAAAAGACTGTATTTTTTATTTTGAATGCTAAAGGGCCATTTTAAAAAAGAATTGTTTTTGTTGAAAACATAAATTTTGATTATGAAAAGTATTACATCTTTTATCTGACATGCTTTCTAAAATAATCAATAACTTAGAGGATAATCGAATACAACCGACTTTGTGTGCATTTAAGTAAGTGTTTAATTATTTTTATTTTTATTTAATGCATGCATCCATTCAAATGGGTTACCCTGTATACTCTTCTTTAACATTTTAACTGAATGGCGTATGGAATTGTATGCGAATCGAAAAATGTGTTTAAGCACAATCCTACAAATTCTTTCAATGAAAGGATACGAATGCCAGGAGGGTGGAATACAAGGCTCACTGTTCAGAACTCAACACGAAGTTGCTTTAACGTTGGAACGAATGAAAGCGGCCCTGTTAGCAGTATAATCTACTCTTGAATGCATTCGAGCGGCAATATACGATCAAATCTTTTGGTGTCTCTACGAGTACTCGATAACGTTTCTCAAAAGCGATCAAAAGCCACTTTGTACTTTGCAAGTTCGGCCACAGGCCTGCAAAGCAGTAGCTTACTTCTTCGGTTGACTATGCAAACCTGAATTTCTATAATTCAACCGAATCAAATATTAATATATTTATAAATTAGTAAAACATTTTTGGATTTGATAGCAAACAATTACAACGTTCAAGGATAAGAAATGTTTAACACTTGAATGTAATTACTTGATTCGAGAAATTACAAAAAAAGTGAACCTTATAGTTTCGAAGGTATCTGAAATGGTAATAGTTATTGCCCCACCCTGTGTGTTGAAAAATATACAAATTTTAATTTTCATTTATGCAATATTCCTTACCTGCTTACATTTGTATGTCGATCGACGGTCGCTAGTCTTTGACGACGGCGCTCGACGCATAACAGTGCGTTTATTCGTGCTGGCAAAAGTTGTTTGAAGGTTTATTCGGAGTCTTCGATTATAAGAGATTTTATATCTTCATATTATAATTATTAAGAGTTAAATATACATGCGACTTACAAATGTAAGTCGTATAAAAGAGGTTTTGTTTCTCGGTGATTTAATTTAAAATATTTATTTCATCTGGAGTTTACATGATAGGTGTACAACTCTCGAACAGTAAAAGAAAATCCGCACTGCTTGCTGTCCGAACTGCCAAAGATGGAGAAATTATTTCTTCCGGAGACGCGTTTGGGATAAATTAATGGCTTTTTGTAATAATAAGCAAATATTTACTGCTGAAAGTTGGCAGACTTTGCGATCATAATGCAGGCGATATTCTCTTAAAATTTCAATGCTCTAAGTTCAAATCTCTCCGAGTATTAAACATTTGAAAATAAAGCCTATTTTTACAGTTTTAATTCTTTTGCAACTTAACATGTGCACCGATTTCAATATACTATAGCTCACTTTGTAGGTATTAAAAATACTCACGTTTCTTATTTGAACCTTCTTTTCTCTAAAATCATTATATTTTCTTCTGCACGCAAGAAACATATTTTTCACACATTTTCGAAATTTTTTAACAATGTTCCCTAAGTATTCACGAGTCTCAAACATTATGCATTTCATTTAATTTCGCACAAAAAAATGGCTAATTAGAATTATTTTTTATTCAAAGTCCAATTCGACTGGACTATTATTCGAACTGACAAAAGTTATTCGAAGTTCGATTCGGATGCTTTAAATAAAGATATAGATAAAAGATGAAAATTTTATTCGACGCTACGAATTGCTTTTCACAGAGATTAATAAGCAAGAAATTTCAAAGAATCAGCAGTGATCAGGCAGTTGTGAATTCCTCTATTTTAACTAATTATGGGATCGAAATAATAATCTATGGGTAGCATGATTATGTTGGCACTGCATATTGATTAATACAGCCTCTATTTTTTACTTTCGTTAGGAAAGAATTTAAGACCTATTTTTGTTACTTAGCTAAATAGAAGTGAAAAACGTGTTTGAAAGCATATTTAGTCAAATAGTACGAAGAAAGGAATGTTAAGGGAAAGAGTTGAAAAAAGTTGCCTAAGTTTTATTTGGAAGACAATTACAGTCCCGACGCAGTTATTCGAGAATATATAATATTGTAAATACACCTTAATGTTTTTTCTCTTAGAAAGGAAACGATATCAAATATCATTTGTCAATTTATAAATTCTGCCAGACACCATAACACAATTGTGTAAAATGCAATACTTGTATCATAAATTCAACTTGAATTACGACCACAAGTGGTTTGGTACACAATTTTTACGATATCAGCTAAATGAAAGTTCAGTTAATTCGGAAGGATACGGTTATACTCACCGACAACTTCTAGGTAACCGGTCTGACTTTTCATTGGATCTGTATTAATCTGACACATATACCCTCCCTTGTCAGATTCCCTAACTTCTCGTATGTGTAGGAACCATGTATGATGATCGCTGTGAGAAACGGCTATTCGGTGGTTCTTTGTAATAACGTGGTTAGCTATTGTCAGTATTGTTTGGGTATTTATATGCAGCCATGCCACCTGTAACATATTTAAATGTTTTCTGTTAAAAAATACGTCTATTAGATAAATGTTAGAAAAACCTTGAAATATTACGGGAAGAAGTCATTGGCGTAACTAGGATTTTTGTCTGAGGGAGGCCAGGTCCCCTAACTTTCGCCCACAACACTCACACATTCTACAATAATTGTTTACACATTTATTTAACACTAAAACTAAGAATAGAAAGATATAAACATTATTCTTAAAAATAAAAAGAATGCGAAAAGAAATTGGCGATTGATTAGAAGCAAAAGTATATGAGGCTCATATACCTATAGTTAAAATTTATACAAGCTTCAATTTGCTGTTTTTTTCTGCAAAAATATTTTTCACATTCTCGAGCGCTAGTTTCCTTATTGCATTCGACTCTTCAATTGATGTTACAGGATTATTAGTTACAGTAGAATTGAAAAATTAAACAGCTTAATGCTAATACAATTTTATTTAATACCTTAACGTAATGAGGAGAGTATTCGGCACAGGTCTTTACTTTTTATAACATAAGAGTTTACTAACTGACGAATGTTTTTTTACATATTTCAATAATTCTGGGGGCTGGTCCCCCCTGGCCCCTACCTAGTTACGTCAATGGAAGAAGTATTTATAGTGCCAATAGTAAGTTAGTAAGAAATACTTGGTAAATAGAAAATTAACAATTATTTTACCTACTACCAACATTGAAAGAAATTTTTGATTTTTATACTGTCCTTAATTCACATTTGAGGTAATTCTAGAATTCACAACTCTGGTAAACGATAACATTAGAATACATTATTCAACTGATGTTAATTAGCCGTTGTTTCGTTATACAATTACATTGTTCAACAATAACGACTAATACTCCGCCGCAGGTCCATGAACAGTGGTCACAGTATATTTTAAATTCCCATTAATATTTTATTCATTTTACACGTTCGCTTCTTTTAAATTCTACTGTCTCCAAAGTTCTCCATACCTTTCGGCTAGTGATGTGACTGATACCGTACCGATTTTTTTTTCATGTTTCAATACAGTGTCACAAAGTATCGATACCTATTGGATACCTACCCGACAGTATCAATACTGGTTTCCTTGTCTGATAACTACACGAAAGTATCCATACCAATTTGATACACTTACTCGAAATATCAATAATTTTCGGCAGCGCGTTTATTCGAGCGCCAAGCGTTGAGCGTCAAGCGTTGAAAGACACAGGGTCGATAAAAATGTATGCTATACAACAGTATGTAATATTAAGTATACGTATATGTACACGCTACTATTTCTCTAACAATTGAAAATGCGAAAAAATGTTTCATATGAAAGTTGTATAATTTCATGGAGTAAACTCACCAGATTGTTTGAATTTTTTTTAATTATTATTTACAGAGATTTTAATAACAATGTTATTTTTTTAAACGGTACTAGATACTTTTATTATTGCCCAGTTATTAAATACGTCAACACGAATTTAACGACATATTTAAAAGTTCTGCTTGAACAATAGTTTCTCGGATAAGTGTTTGTATGAATATTGGTGGCAGTTTCATTGTTTCTTGTACCGGGGATCACACACTGTTGGTAAAAGACGCTAACGGAACTTGACATTTCCCAGGAATATTCTAACAGTTATTTGATAAATTATTATTCAATCAGAATTTTCAAATATGTCCACAATTCTACATTACGTTGAGAATGAAGTTTACTGTAAATTTCATTCTCTTAATTACAATTACGACTAAAATATGAATTTCTGTATTTATTTAGAAATAATTTCACAGCTTCAAATATTGAACTATAAATTAACACATACATCATATATGTATGTCCGATAACTGTTAGTTTTTTAATGACTGAATATTCTCAGTAAATGTTACATTTTGCACACTTTACGTATTGTGTGTATGTTTTAATGTACACCGACGAGCAAACTCAGTTTCCACTAGGAGAACAGTAACGTAGGGCAAGGACCTTTTAACACTTGGTATTGGAAATTCTTGAAATTCACGCCAAATTAATTCGATTTAACATTTGTATCAGTAGTTGAAATAAATTTATCAAGCGGCGGGAGGCCCTTTCTATACGTTACTTTTTCCCTTAGTGGAAGCCGAATTTGCTCGTGGGTGTACATCCATCCCTCAATTTATACGGCAGATACCATAGACATGTATAATAGACTGCGCGGTCTTATGGTAGGGTGGTATTATGGACTGGAGTAGCTCCCCTCTTGTTCGCACATCGCAGAGGGAGGGACGAAAGCGATTGTACGACGATGAGGAGAAGGAATGCATGTAATGCCCCTACCAACAGCCCAATTAGAACGAGAGGAAAGTAACTCCAGTTATTGTCCTCTCGCTCTAGTGCCGACTTCATCCCTACCATAAGACCGCGCAGTATATTATACATGTATATGGTATTTCCAAACACGTACGCCTAAGTGGTGTCCCGTCAGTTGAAAACTTTTTATGTTAATAAATTATAAAGTAAAATATTCGACGTTTCCTGTAGACTGTTACAGGTAAGTGTTACATCGTTATTTTCGGTGGTAATGACTTCTCCATGACTTAAATGTAAATAAACAGTCGAAACATTTAGTTGAAGTAAAAAAGTTTTATTTCATTTGTTTATAAATGTCCGTCCAAATAAATGGTTTCAACTGAAAAAGCGCTTATCTTCGCATGAATTTAGAAAAAAAAATTAATTTTGACATTGGCGGTCATTGGTTATCTGTATGATGCCATTGGTAAGTGAAATGTCGGTTACTAATGATTCTTACTACGGCATTCAACGTGTTGCATTACTAGTGTGACGCTCAGAAGAATTAATAGACTACAGTTTATATGAAATATACAAATACATAAAATTCGAATGGGAACTGCATGAAAGAGAAAGATTGTCTATGAAAGAGGCAGGTTGACTTTACATTAAAAATAACAAATGACACATAGTTGCGGACGTACAGTTTGTGTGCCGGTGTCTCCGTAAATTACAGAAATTCGCAGGAGAAGTCGTAAATACTTGGTTATCATATTTGGCGGAAGCATGGAGGGGCATTATACCTACACTCGCGTACATAGTGGCTAGAGATGGCGCCAACCATGGATACGGCTTCACCGTTTCCATTCATCGGAGTGGATATCAAATGCAATAGTTCATGGTGCTCTTCCGATTTCACACCGGTCTCTGACAGATTTACAGGAGCGAGGTTTGATATCTGCATTCGAGAGACCTGAACTAGTTCCACCTGTCCCGGATCTCTGTATACTTTTCGTCAACTTGCGATTCCGCGAGGGCATCTCTAAGATAAATCGACCAAATAAGCTGTTCGACTAATCAGTGATCCCTTAGGTGGCGTTTCAGACGATTCACTCGCATCCCGTGATTCACTAACGAATAATGTCGTTTAACATTCTCTGACACATGCTGGATAACGGGATATAACGTCTAACGATCCAGTTAAATAGCATTCCTAACTGAATCTAAAATTATTCGATCAATAGATACTGTAACTCTGCGCGGATCGATATTTCTAGTTTACAGTCGTTTGGTGATCGAGACTCCACTATGAAATTCTTATGTAAGGTGGTCCTCTAAGCTTAAAAATCGACATGAACGAAATCCTAAGGATACGTTTCTGAGATATCGCCCGATGAATATTTTGGTACTTTTTTAAAAAGACGTTCCGACGTTTTTGGCCATATCTCGCGTTCGAGTTGACCGACTTGATCGCGATGAATTTTAAATTAAACGTATTTAAATTATATACAATTCTTTCAGACATTATTTTCCAATCGGACCAATAGTTTAGACGAAATCGACCGAAACTTATAAAAAATGTAATTGTTTGGGGCCGAAATTGAAATCGAAAATTCACTAGATCGCCTGGAAAACATAGAAATTATTATGTGACGCCCAGTTACTTATTTTTTACATAGAGTACATACCCTTACAAAGAAAACAGGTCCAACTTGAGCAAAATCCTTGGACAAATAAAGAAGTTATGGGCGATAGAGCTGGAGTGTCTATTCTCAACTTTTTCCCTATTTCTTCCTGTTCCTTGGCGAATTAGGTACGTGCTTTTTTGTGGGAGGAGGCATTTCAGAGATTTTAAGATCAACTTAATATTCTTTTTACCATAGATCGATAGAGTATCAAATTCTGAGTAAAAATGTATTAATTTTCATACCTAATAGTTAACGAGATATTTGTAAAATACAGATAGCCTCCGGATAGTAAGTACGTATTAAAAATTATTTTGAAAATTATATGTATGTATCCAATCCTGTTCATCCAGTTTGTACTTGTATCTATCAGTGACAAACAACCGTCGATTATCAAGCGTTATTTATTCATCAACGCAAACTCTTGCAACTTTCACTTTTTTTTAGAACTTTTGTAAAAAGTATGCAATAATCAACGAACATAACTAATAAATAAATGAAATGTTATAAAGTATAGTTTAATAATGTCAATTGAAAATTCAATTTACAAAGGCAGAGATATCACTTGTACCAAACTGGGAACCAGAAGTTCCAGACACAACTGTTTCCTAAAAGTCAGCAATCTGTCAGTACACTACCACATCTGACTGCATCAAATAAACAAACCAGGTTTCGTTGGTAATGACCAAGTAGTCGATGCGAAGTAAAATAAACGCAATTAAAAATAATAATATAATGCAAAATATTCTTATTAAGTATGTTACTTTTACGTAAAGTATTTACATGTATGTTATTCAAATATTTCTTTAATGTTTCATACTACGTGTACAAATTAAAATTCACGGGACTTAATTATCCAAACATCAGTTCGAGTGGCAGAAATTAATTTTGAATCGAAGCTTTGATTAAGCTGCTAGACATTTC